AAAAGTCCCAAACCAACATGAATGTTACAGAAAACAAGTTCGAGCAGATGTTTCTGACTCTCTGGTTGTTGCATCAGGTTACTTAAAGACCATCTTTGTTTATAACAATGAACCATCTGAACCAACAATCAGGATCAACATGTACTTGTAATTTCACTGGGTACCATGTTCCAGTCTTTTGCTCGTATACGAGTGTCAATCAGACACATAGATGCACATAAGACTACAAGCCGATCTGCGAATAAATTACTAAAGCACATGTAGAGTTACAGGGAGCACACATTTGAGCCAAATATCATTGACCAAGTCTATTAGCCACAGAAATCATAGACACCGATAGGAATATTAAACCAAACTTCAATATAAAAACTATCACATTCTTAGTTCAATCCATACATTCCAGACCACATTGAACGGACCGAAGAAGAGGCGAAGAAATGTCGGCTTAATCGGATGAGATTAATTACTTACAGTTTGCACACTACCGATTTTTCAACTAAGTTCACAATAAGTATAAAGCATCCTTATTTCTCCGTGATAGCCCATGGTTACCTTGTCTGAAGTTTGCCCCAACTCATTTAACAATTCCTGTACAGACTTCTGATCGTTGCTCTGCAATACATAATTGCAGTAAGAAATTAAGCACTGTCTTTGACAAGTCAAGACGATTACATAATCCAGAAAATTAATAGACTGACATTGAGAGATGAGAATCCAGTGATGGCCTCCGCCGATGAAACCGAACCAGAACTGCTAAATGGGAAGCACTGCAGATGCCATTTGGTCATGTCAAACCCTCGGGGGTCTTTACTCACCATACCCAACCTCAGAGACTTCGAATCAATCGCTTTCGAACACTTATTGCACGAAGAGCGCCCCGACTTCGCGTACTCAGCCACGATTTTCACGGACGCCGGCGGTGACGACGACGACGACGACATTGCAGCAGATGATACGATGATTAACAGCACGCGGCTCGAATCAGGGCTCACGGTCCTTGGGACGCGATTAAAATCGACGGCTAAATTAGTGAGGCGCGACGCATTCGGATTGCGGAGGACGGAGGCTAGTGTGAAGCCATTGGAGCTTATAAGCATTGAAACGAAATAGGGTGTATATAGGTTGATTCTGATAGTGGAGGTTTATGAAATGCACTGTTTGAGTTATCCAAGTCCGTTTATGGAATAATTTGTTCAAAATAAGTTATTTTGGTTAATTATAATTAATTTGAAAAATGTGTATGGTTAGTTGTTAGTGGAATTTTAAGAATGTATTAAAATAATATTTAAAATAAAATGATTAAAATTGATTTGATGTAAAAGTAAGATATAAATGATTGGTAGTTAAAATTATGTGAGTGGATGAATAATGAATTAAAATTAATGTGATGTGTAAGAAAGATTAATTTGTATTATTTGATTATATGAATAATATTAAAGATAGTGGAGTTAAGTTAAAGTTGAGTTAAATTTTGAGTTGAAATAAAAGTGAGTAAAATAATTTGTAAACAATCAAGCTCTAAATTTTGCTAAACTATTATTATTCATGGAGTATATGTATAAACCACTTCAAATTTCTAATAATAGATATGGAGTTCGAGCTAAGTTTATAACTAAATTAAATGACTTAATAAGTGGGCTGGAGCTCGGCTCATAGCTAAACCAACCAACAAACGAGCTCACTTTAATTGGCTTATAAAAACGAGACATATTCGAGCTTAACAAAGTTGATTTCAAATGAGACAAACATGCGCCAATTGGATGGCAACCACTTTATTATTTTAGTTTTATTTCTAATTAGTTGCGGTGGTTAGATCCCAATTTCTATGCTCATATCTGTTTGGTAGATCCCCTTTGGTGCTCGGATTAGGGTTCCTCGGCGCAGTGTTTCGGTCTAACCCCTTGTGCCTTCTTCTCTGCCTGATTGGCAACTTCGGGATCTTCGATGTGGACTAAGGCTTGCCTTCCTGCCAGTTCTATCTACCCATTCGGTGGATTTTAGTTCTATAGTCTATATTGTAGATCATTAGGTTATGGTCTTGGGTTGATCTAAGGGAATAAATCTTTTTCACCCTAATACAAAGACACATTAATTTTTTCACACCGCTCAATAAAAAGCTAAGTTTTTCACCCCATAAAAGTGCGAAGGTTATGCGAAAACT